AACATAAAAATTGCAGATTGAAACACAAATTCTCAGACAATTATAGTAGTTGAAACTAGCAGTGAAAATTTAAACCATCATTCAAAGTTCAAACCAAGTTACAGTACTTGGCAGTCTGGATGAAAGATGACTAATGTCTTTCACAATAAATACTCAGATAAAATAAAAATTAAGAGAAAAATGATCATAATATATTGCCTTTCACAATAAATACACTCACATAAAATAAAAGTTAACAGAAAAATGATCAACACACTTCAGATCAGAACATCAGAAATCCACAAAATCAGTATTTATCCAAGATTGATAATTTTGACAATCAGTTCGTTATCCGAGGTACAAAAGGAATAACAACTGCTCAGCAGAGCGTCCGTTAACCGGGGCAATTCCGTTTCTGCTTAATTTCTCTTTTAAAAAAACATTCCCCGCATAAAAAAATAAAGCTTTGCTTACGGGGTAGAGATATTTTTCTAGGTAACCTGGGGGTCAAGGAAGGAACAAAAAAATGTGTGGGGGAGGGGAGGGGTAGATACCGGTGCTTGCGATTATCCTCCCCCCAATTCCGCGTTTGTTGAACCCCCATCGTTTTTTTTTTCTTGCTGAAAAGCGGCGAGGATAAGAAAAAAAAAAAGGGTTGCGTAGTTCGACCCCTGTTGTGATGCTGGATCAGCAAATTTTTTTTTTTTTTTTTGGCACGGAGGCATTGAACTCGCAAGGGGTCGAAGAACTTGACCGTAGTTTTGTGCACTTTGCTCCGGGGGGTTCACAGGGGGGTTCGGTGATTATTCCATACCGTACATTATTTTTCTTTCCCGACTGCTGTTCTACGAGTTACGGGGTTTCTATTTTTCATAACCTATTCTTTCATCATAGTGGAAAGGAATTTCGGTACTGCTTCAGTATGCGACTGACCTGATATTTTATTCAACAAATAATTGGCACCTCATACTTCTCTACTTGACTGGAATCACTTGAAAAATATTTTCACTGGACTGAGCCTAGTGTAAGATTGCTCTCCTTACATAACATGTTACAGTACAATACAATCTGCTACAGTACTGTAAAAATATAATCAAATTTCTAAAAAATTGGCCAAGAAATCAACAACAGCAACCTAAAGAGATGCTATGCATATGACACATTTGTTAATATTTAACATGGGATCAGAGACCATTTATTGTTCAATTAAACCTGGTAACACAAAATTAAAATTAGCAAATTATTGATGCATCAAAGTAAGGGTTAATAATTATATCAGAGAGGATAAAACTACTGTATTTGTAACAGGTAATAGAACTAAGCCCACTAAAACATGGCAATTCTTACATAACATGATACAGTATAATCACTTACAAAGCAACAACTCATGCAAATTATTAGAGAAGTTGCCAAGACATCAATGACCATGACATCCAAGTTCTATGCATATGAAGTACAGTATTTGCCAATATGACATTGGAGTCAAAAGTATCTGCTACTTGGTACTTAATAAACACATCATTGGCAGTGATGCATAATGACTACAGTATAATCATCCCACTTGACTACAGTATAATCAGAAGTACACATGCAACAAGGAACTGGACTTGACCAAATCCTGAATTATTTCCCTTACATAACATACTACAGTATATAACATGCTCTTCTGATATCCATCCAAATTAAAATGAAAAAAGTGGCCATAAGACACCAGTGATAAAAAATATCAGGGGGTTTCTTGACAATACACAAATGAAGCATTTGTATACATGATGTCTCTATTCAATGGTACCTACATGGAGAAATTAATGGCACTTCACAGTAACATTTACTACTCCCACTTGACAGGAACCAAAAGAAGAAAATATTTGCAACATGTAACAGAACTTGATCAATTCCCTCAATTAAGTCCCTTACATAACATACTCAGCTGTTAACATATCATCCATGCAAAACAATTATGCAAAAAAGGGACCATAAAACCACCATTGATGAAAAATATTTTTTTTTCACACTATGCGAATGAGAAGCATTTGTAAACATGGAAGTGGAGTCAAAGGCTTTCCTTCCTTGAACAAATGTCCTTCTCAACATCCTCACCAGAAAAAAATGATTCAGTAATTAATCTTCCAATTCATAAAATCGGACACACACACACGTCATCACCCAGTACAGTACTGAACTTAACCAAGGAGAAAGGCTTGCGCAAAGAGAGCAATCTTCGTCCCTGTCCTGATTTTACCCCGCTCGCGCATTCCCTCTCCGTCCCCCTCCCCCACACACACAACGGAACACACACACAAGACAGAGACAT